TTGCTCGCTGCCGTTCTCGACGATGTGACTGACACTGTGATCTCTTCCTCCTTAGGGACTGAAGCCAATGGACTCCAACGGGTTGGCAGATCCTTATGTCAAGCTTCATCTGCTGCCAGGGGCTAGTAAGGTAAAAGACTCACCTTTCCTACATTAAGCTTTTACATCTCTTGAAAGATTTATCACCCTAATATCCTGCTAAGCAAAACAGGAAGGGTGGTGATTTTATACCCTGTCGGAGGCTGAGGGGCCTTTCTGCAAGCTCAAGCCTGACACCTTGTGGTTCAAATGAACACGCTGCATAAAATTGACTCAAGGATGATGTCAAGAAATAGAAGGAGACATAGATGTATATTTATATTATTTGTGGAGTGGATAATGGGGCAGGTCTGAGCTGCATAAACCACCTTTGGCTGGGAAGCAGCTCCATGTAGATACTGGCTGTGATAACAAACCACAAACCACAGATGTATGTGATCTTGTGCAGTGGTAACATGCCATGAAATGTTTCCTTGTCCTGATCTAACCCGCATCAGTCTAACAAGCTGCGCACAAAGACCTTGAGAAACACCCGCAACCCTGCATGGAATGAGACGCTCACATACCATGGCCTGACAGATGAGGACATGCAGCGCAAGACCCTCAGGTGGATGGATACTTAACTTTCACTAGGCTGCAACAAACCCACATTTACATATCAATACTTTGCACTCAGTTGACACTGCATGTTTGAGACTCTCGTTTGCTTTCCTCAGGCTCTCCGTCTGTGATGAAGACAAGTTCGGGCACAACGAGTTCATTGGGGAAACTCGAGTGGCACTGAAGAAACTGAAGATGAACCAGAAGAAAAACTTTAACGTGTGTCTGGAAAGAGTCATCCCCGTGAGTGAAACTCAAGTTACATGCAAACCAGGCTCTGTTCTCCTTGTCTCAGTCTTGTATTGAGCGGCTGTGATGTCTTTCCTTGCAGACGAAGAAAACTGCAACAGCCGGGGGGGCCAGAGGCATCGCTCTCTACGAAGATGAGGCAATTCTTTTTTATTTCCGAGCATGTCTAAACGTGGCAGATTATCAAGAATCCCACTGATTTATTTTGCTGCCTCTGCTGTTTCTCAGCCAGGGAAAGATGGCGGAGAGGTAGAGGAGCGTGGTCGGATCCTGATCTCCCTCATGTACAGCTCCCCACAAAACCGCCTCATTGTGGGTGTCGTGCGCTGCGTTCACTTGGCTGCCATGGATGCTAATGGCTACTCTGACCCTTATGTCAAAATGTAGGTGAAGCAGAATGAGGAGTACATTCAGACTGTGTATGCATGACTCTTGAGACGGCATAAATCAGATTCTGTGTGTATGTGTAATTTGCAGATGTCTGAAACCTGACATGGGGAAGAAGGGCAAGAGCAAAACACAAATCAAAAAGAGAACCTTAAACCCAGAGTTTAATGAGGTTTGTAAATACATTGACAAAATCAGCTTATTCCCATGTTATTGCTTCATAATCATATTTTTAAATTGGGTATGAAAAAAGTTCTGAAGTGATGACTAATTGTTTTAATCAAATTTCAGGAATTTGGCTATGAGATCAAACACAGCGAACTGGCTAAAAAGTCTTTAGACATCTCTGTGTGGGATTACGACATCGGGAAGTCCAACGACTACATCGGTAAATGTTTGATTACTGCTTTGATGCCATCAAAATAAAATTCTCTCTTGCGTACCACCTCGCTTTTTCACACCTCACTTTCTCTCTGACAGGCGGGTGTCAGCTTGGAATCACCGCCAAAGGAGAGAGGCTGAAGCACTGGTACGAGTGTCTGAAGAACAAGGACAAGAAGATTGAGCGCTGGCACACCCTGTACAACGAGAATCACGTCGCTAGTGATTAACCACTTGCCCCACCCCGCATGAGCTAAAACCCTTCCTCCCTACTTGGCATCTCCTAAAGCACCTTTTCCCCCTCATCTCGTTGTGTTTATCTATTTGTTCTCTACCTGACCATCACACAGGCACTGCTCGCATTCGTCCTTCTCCCTGATGTAGAATACTCCTCACTCCACGTCCTCTTATTAACAAATTTACCCGCCTGTGCTGATACCTAATCTGCCTCTGGGACAAATCATGGCATAAATTATTTAGATATTTCATTAATGTAAGCGACACATCTGTCAGCCAACAGCTGCATAAAGACCATCATGCCTGATGTTATATAGTGTGCCGAACTTGACAAATTCTCCGCTAAAGGAATGAAGAGTTTGAATTGCACTGGCACAGAACAAGAAAAGCAATATGTTTTTGGTGTCTGAGATCAAAACTAATAATTCGAGCTTGTAAAAATACTAATTTAAGCTTGTGACGGACATTTGATTGACTGTCAGGGTATTCTTTTTTTTTTCATGTGATTTCATGACGCTCAGTGAACTGTGTTAAGCATGCTAAGCCACAGACATAAGAAAACACACAGCTGCACCTTAAGATATTTCACCTGTGCCCACTGTCCTGAACATAGTGTATATTTCCATGAAGAAGAAATGTTTACATACTGATACATTGCTCAGGTTAGGATAGACATCTGATGCCCAGATGATGCATACGTCAGTGGCCCATGAGCTCGATGAGTCTGTCATCAGTTGCTGTTAATTTGTGAATTTAAAACTATAGCACACCTAGTTAAAGATTAGGAGTTTAATGTATGTCTATTGAAGCTGTGAATTTTAAGTTAGTGGGAAGTATTAACTGTGTGATTAGAGGAACTGAAACGTGAACGACGACGTTCGTTTTTCAGATAATTTCTCAGCTGTGGTTTCGCAGGAGAAAACAGATTCTCCTCCTGCTGCCTCTTCTCTCCTGAAGCCCGCGGTTCACTCTGACACCTCAGAGGTTTTCTACTGCAGTGTTTACATGGTCAAGTTTCTTACAGGTTTCCCTTAAAAAAAAAAATACAAAACTTAAAACCTGGATGCTCTGCTAAACAAAGAGAGAAGGTGGAACAGGTTATGTCATAAGAATGTGCAGCTTTACCTGCATGCACTGTGCCTGGTGCGGCCGAGGCCCACTTCTACGTCAATCCTTTGCACAAAGCAGGGCGCTTCTTTCCCTCTGCCACATCCCAATCACTCAAGGCTTTAGTGTATATTTGTTCACGGATCACAGCAAACCAAGGAAAGCACACCTTACAAAGTGGAATGACCTCAATTTATACAGCTGTTCGCAAGTTATTCCAACGTCACAAAGATGAAAAGTAAAAAACCTATGCATGAAATGTCTTGTGGTTCAAGATATATATATATATACTTTGTAAAAAATTAATGCTATTGTAATTCCATTAATGTTTACACTTCTTCCCCATAACATTCCTGTTAATTCTTTAAATACAAGAAGACTTATGCTGCATGACTATGATGACTATTGGTGTAATCTGAATAATCTGGTTTGATAGCATTCACTGGATAGAGTTATAATAAACTAAGCACATGGACAAAAAGATCAGACTTGATCCAACTCTATCAGTAGCAGACGATAAGATTAACTTCATTCTTTGAACAGACTTTATGTACAAACACACTCAAATCTCTCCTGTGTCTTGTTTTCTCTGTACAGCCACTCTGCCCCCCTGTGGCAGGGATTAAAACAACCACCAGTAGCATCACACATACAATGTTGTACTTCGTCAGCTAAACATCATCAGATGATGATCGACATAAATTATAATCAATATTTTTTTGTTTATTTTTTGAACAGGCTTCTCTTCGAGCTAAACCTATATCTGTCTTCTACTTGATTCTGCCAGTTCAGTGGAATGTTCTCGGTTCTATCTCTGTATTTGTAAATAGATAGTGCATGCATGGGAATATGTATGTTTGCAAATAACTTTGCATGTAAAGATTTTGCAGAGAGTTTACACAGATCAATAAAAACTAATGAAAAATTACAAGCCTGTGTGTGTGTGTGATAAAGATGAGAACATAAAATGGAATGAGAGGAAGGGAAACCTATATGCATCCTCACTAATGCTTGTGAGCATGCTATTGGAATATTTATGTGATGTCATCTGTAGTCAACATCTTTTTTGGATCCACTGTATTTCTTTTTTTTTATTTTTTCGTTTTAATTCATAGTAAAGAATGTAATAAATCTAAATTTCTATCTTTTATTTGACAGCTCCATTGTGCACACATTTATCTCATTATAATAACTAACTTACTTAAGGTATTAACTAACTCAAGGTAATACCTTAGTAACTCAAACTTATACCTCAGTAACTCAAACTTATACCTTACTAACTCAAACTTATACCTTAGTAACTCAAACTTATACCTTGGTAACTCAAGATTATGACTTCGTAACTCAAACTAATGACTTCGTAACTCAAGATAATCACTTACTAACTTGAGATAATCACTTGATAACCCAATATAATCACTCTCTAATTTAGGATGATTAGTTATTAACTCAAGATAATAATATACCAACTCAAGTTAATCACTTACTAACTCAACTCTAGCTCCAGAAAATGACTTTGTAACTCAATACAATGACTTACTAACTCAAGATAATGACTTCTAATTCCACATAATCCCTTACTAACTCAAGGTTTCTCAAGCTAATGACTTTCTTTACTCGTAACTCCAAAGCATCTTCTGTAACCTGTAACCTGTTAGGACAGCTCAGTTTTCTTCCTACAACCTATATCTAAAGTCATTTCATCAGGGAGATATAATTCATCACCTTGGAATTTACAACTGTACGTGGTTCCTGCCTGTCTGGGTCACATCACACACGAGTCTCATATTTCTGACGGGCCTCGCGTCGACCCACCAATCAGGACAACACATGCCTTCTTCTGTCAGCAGCCTTTATCAAACCGGCCGGTGCAGAACCAACAGTGATCCCAACACTTGATCTGAAACTGGACTGTTACACACTTTTACACTGAGATGCATATCGGACTCCTCCATCGACTTATTTTCACCTTATCGTCGCTCATTCTATCCACGGTGATGATGGGATCAGGTGACTCAGGTGACTCCTGCCTCAGGTCGAGTCGGACCCGAGAGGGACACACGCGCGTCACGTTCCTGCGAGAGGACGCGTCGGGCGCACGCTCCTTGTACCTCAGCCTGTGGTCCGAGGACAGGACACTGGTGACCTGCGAAGTAAACAGCAGTCCACTGGCCACGGAGAGTTACCGCACCCTCTGCGGGAGGAGCGACACCCAGCTGCAGGTCGAAGAGTTCACCCGGAGGTTTAACGTCAGTGCGTTGGCAGCTCCGGATGCTCCCTGCGCGCCTGTCTCCTCCAGGCGCTCCAGAAGAGCCCGGGCAGAGGGGAAAGTGCGGAGGAAACGAGGATGGTTATTCCCGGGGACGATGTGGTGCGGCAGGGGAAGTGAAGCGGTCAGATACGAAGAGTTAGGTGAGGATGCAAAAACTCTGGTTCCATCATGGTCAGCTGGTCAGACTGTCATGGATTGGGTCATGGGCACAGACATCACAGTGTAATTTATATACGTGCAGTAGACAACAGCTACGAGTCTAGGACCTCAGATGCCTGCAAGGACTTTCAGGATTTTATCATGGGTGCATGCAGTCGTTGCAAAAAATTCAAAACTACAGAGGCTCCTGGGCTTTTGGTAAATGTGTAGATGGTAGAGCCAATTCATTTTTTTGTTTTCAAATAACTTTGAAGCTTATATTTTTACAATCAAAGATCTCTGCTTACAACTTGTGACTGAATTCAGATCTTGCTCTCGTGCACAGGGATGTTCGAGAACGCAGACAGATGCTGCCGTGAACACGACCACTGCTCCCACATCATCCCTTCTTTCACTGTGAATTATGGAGTCTTCAACTCCTACTTCTTCACGCTCTCACACTGTGACTGTGACCAGAGGTGAGTCTCAGCAGAGGAATAATGCACACAGAATACTATAGGTATCTAAAAACAGTGACTCATTAACTGAAGATAATTACTTTAACCCAAGATCAAATAAATAACTTACTAAATAAAAATAATGACGTTCTAACTCAAAATGATGACTTAGTATCTCAAAATAATGAGATGCATCAATAATGAGGTGTGGTGGTAGTTAGTGCTTTCTGAGTCTTACAAATTAAGGTGTCCTCAGGGAATTATTTTTGTCACAATTCCAATAAATGTAAAGTGATTTAAGTTGAAGAACCTGGGGCCAAATTACAATTTATAATAAAAATATGTCACTGCAATCAGACCTTCAACGAAGCTTTGATGTCAAGACTAAACATGCTGCTTGCTATTTTAGTGATGCTGAGCATTCCATTCCTCCCACACAATCTATTTTTTAAACCTGAAAAGATGCGTTTGATTCTCACACCCAGTGCTGACAGGTGCACGTGTATTTTGTTTGCAATCTAAACTATTGGGGTTCATCCACTGGTAAATGACATGCAATTTAAGAAATCACCTCCCAGCTGTAATGTATATCATTTTGTTATAAATTGTTTTATTTATAGAAATGAACCCACCAAGCTGTCGTGGTAACGTGTTCATTTTTTTGCTGGACCGCTACTTGGCTCATTCTCTTCTGCCATCCACCAGGTTTCGACAGTGTCTTTTTGAGGTGAATGACACCATTTCTAGTATGGTTGGCTACAGCTTTTTCAACATCCTGCGGATTCCCTGCTTTGAGCTCAAACAGCAGAGACGATGCATCCAGAAGTACTGGTGGGGAATGTAAGAGAAACATTTCTATTGCATTGTTAGATAACCGCAGGTGCAAGACATTTACTCAATGGAAAATGCAGGTATGAACACATGAGAATCTGTAGCAACAATTGTATCTCGGCAGCTTGTAGAAACACGCCTGACTATCTGAAAAACCTGCTAAAATTATGAGGGGTATCATGCAACTCGTGCCTACTAACAAATAGTCATACAAACATGAAATGTTTCATGTTTTTGTCGAGCATTAACATTGACAAACCATTTTGCATGATAATAATTTAAAGTTTGTTTATCTTGTAAAAATACAACTTAAAGGTGTTTGAAATGACATATAATACTCCATGATAGTAACTCTTCTTGGGGAAATAGATTTGCAAGGAATTTGCTCAATTTGCATTCTTTATTTCCCTGGCTTGGTTTTAACATGCATGTTTATTCTCTATAGCTGCAAAGTAGCCGAAGAGGCTCCGTATGCCATCTTCAAAAGCCCACTCCCATACAACACATCTGATGTTACAAGCAAATATGGGGCCAACAGGAGCAACTTAACAAGTAGTGAGAGGCAGCATGTTACCGAAAGCCCAGCGACCAGCCCACGCCGACAGCCACCCAAGAGAGAACATAGATGTGACCCCAGAGACCCACCCAGAGGAGACACTTTCTACCTCAGGACAAAAGGGAGAGGATGTAAAAGACGCCGGAAATCATCAACTGTCGCACCTTCTCAAATGGCCCCGATATCAAGATCACGCACCACTACTCCTTCAATGGAAACAGCTCATTTAAATGCAGCTAAAGGTATCACTGTGGTGTCACATAAAAAAAGATTTGGAAAAAAGAAGAGCAACAGAAAGGGCCTGCTGGTTTCCACCACACAGAGACGCCAAGGTCCACTGCAGGCGTCTACAAACTCTTATCCATTCACATCATCTGCAACACAAAGCTCCCTGTCTGTAACACAGAGGACGCAACCAGTAGCAACCACAGCAGAGACAACAACCAGGAGAAGTCACAAAAAAGGTATAGAGCAAAGTCGCTGCTGTGGATTCAGGAGGGCCGACACCATTGGGCCACTTTGTAAACGTTGTCTGGAGCAAGAAACAACTACAAATGGCCCGTCAATAAAAGTGACAATACTTCAAACCCCACAGCACAGACAGACAACAGACAATTTGAAAATACCGTGGAATACATCTACATTTGCAACACCCATCAGAACGAAACTAAAGACCACAGCCTTGCCTCATGAGGACGGGAAGTCACTAAGGCAGAGGGACTCTCACCTATTGGGGAATAACACAAGCCAGAAGCACATGGGAAGTAACATAACACAAAGTACCATTGTGGAAATAAGCTTTAGAGAATATAACGCTGTCACAGGTAGGTACATGCAGCTCCCATCACTTGTACTGGTGCCTTTGCAGCATAAGAAGCTCCTGCTCATAATACAAAAGAAATTATTATGATACATAATGAGAAGTCTCCAATGTTAAGATTAATCTATCTCTTATCTATATTCATTATTAACCATATATTAATTACTAAGTGTAAGCTCGAAGTGTATACTAAGTCAGGTAGAACCATTTGTCATTCGGGCTTGTTACATTTGAAACTTTAAAATGTAGAATTTTTAAGATTAACATTATTTTGTTTGTATTTACATGCCATAAAATATTGTACAATTTATAACAATAATGACTTAAATGACAATGATAACTTTTTACATATGAGTGAGCAAGTTTCAAATTAGACAAAAACTACCACTGTGAAATATTTTTTGCATTATATTAGCATTCGAGATGAGTCATGCTGCTGTGGTGGGAAAGTGGTGATTATGGCTCTTGAAAGAGCACACACAACTTATAGTGATATTAATGTGTTTAACATGATGCCTAGAGTATTATTTTGAGCAACCATGCCCCCTAGAGGTGGAAAAGAATGCTAAAGGGCATAACAACATAAATGGGCCAGTGTTGCATAGAAATAGTAAGAATTGTGGGTGCACTTCTATAACCTGTCATGACACAAGCTTATTTTTGCTCCTGCAGATAACCAGCTCCTGTGTGGAAGCCTCAAATATCTGGATGACTGTAAATACCAAATCCCTCCTCTGGAGAAGAAGTATGATCTGCAGAACATGGAGTCAAAGGTGGCCTACCACTGTGACTGCACCACCCGGTAACACAACTTTTTAGTTCTAAGTATTTTTGTATTCACATATGCAAACATTATGTTTTCGTCCTGTATTTAATTTCTGACATTTATGCCAGGGGTTGTTTCACAAAGGAGAGATTAGCTGGATAACCACACTGAGTAAATCCTGGAAAACAACTTTTTCATCAGTCCATTTTTTAGATTTAAGGGACATCAGCCAATCTGTTGTTACAACTTTCTAAACCCACTTCTTTAAATAGGTCCCTGTTCTACAGTGCAAAGCTGCAGATATGAATTATTACATTTGTTGACAGTGTCACACATTGAAAGAGGTTATTATCGCAGTGTCACATGTGGGACTTCTTGCTTTGTGTAATCTGGTGCGATCACAATATCAATAGCTCAGTGTGACATTAGTCTCCCCCCTGGAAGCAGCTTTATAACATAGGAAACATGAGGCTTATACAGCTTTTTAAACCAGTCTAAACTAAAAGCTACTGCACTAATAATTCATTGTGGCCATATCAAGCTCATGTTTTGGGGAATGCAATGTACATTTGTCAAAACTTTCTGTCAAAAATCCGTCGGAATTTTCTTTTAATAAATTGGACTTAGTTGTTGCCTAGCCATCATCTATACTGCTTATCATTTGTGAGTGGGAGGAAGCTGGAGCACCTGGAGAAAACCCATGCAGACACAGTGAGAACTGGGATTTGCACAGGGAACACTCTTGCTTTGTGGAGACAGTGCTAACCACTATACCACCGCACTGCCCTAGTTGTGTCCTAGTTGCACCAGTTTTGGCAGGACTGAGCAGGAAAACATGATGTGATCAAAGTTTAACATCTCCAGTGTTTAGGTGTTGTCCTTTTTTACAGCA